CACTTAAAAGTTTTTTTATTCGTATTCAAGCTCCATTGCAGATCATGGAGTTGAGTTAAAGAGTTAAGTCGATCGAGTTGAGCTTCGAATTTGATTTATATGCAAATTAAGATATAGTGTATACTTATGGATATAGTTGAAAATATTGATAAATTAACTCATAATGTAATCTCAAGATAATGATTGAAATGATAGGTGATAATAATAATAATAATAATAATAATAATAATAATAATAATAATAATAATAATAATAATAATAATAATAATAATAATAATAATAATAATAATAATAATAATAAACTCAATGTATCAAGTCAAACAAAATTATTTGAATCCAAAAAACATATAAAACAATCCATATATATTTATATAACAACTAATGATACTAAATCTAGTGTACATTTTCTCACCCCAAATATTTTTGACTATATGTGGAAATATATTAATGTTGTTCTAAATTAATACATAAAAATTGTACATTAACTATATCAAAAATTAAATTCAACTAATTTTTCTTGAAAGTTGACTTACTGTGAAATATAACACTTGGCTTCATAGTAAAATTAATCATTCTACTAACAAACTTCACAATTACATTACATAAAAAGACCTGACCTGAAGGCAACTGAACATTCCTAACTTTCCGGTCAAAAACATCGGCCTTGTCGGCATCCCGGAGCACCCATAGAAACCCGTGCCCGCTCGACTCCAGTCCGAGAGCTAGCTCGGTTATCTCCTCGTCGGTGAGCGAGCACGTTGTCCCGAACGTGACGTACAAAACCGACCCTACTTCCTGCCCGTCGAGCCACTCTAAACACTCGTGCCTCTTTCTCGAACCCGAACCCGAACCGACCAACTTTGCCGCCAGCATGGGCCCAACGGCCCAAATCTTCCGACCTCCTTGGGACTCCAGAATGTCGAGAAACGGGCCCTCCATAGCCCGACACGTGTTGTAAAGGCTGCCAGAGCTGCGTTGGAGGGCTGGGTACTGACCGCCGATGAAGACCTGGAGGCCGTCAGAAATGCTGGCGGAGATGGGGGGGAGGTGGCGGAGGGTGGGGACGGGGCAGGGGATTCCGGCGAGCTCGTGGGTTAACTTGACGTCGCAGAAAGCTGAGAGGCAGTTAAAGGCGTAGGACTCGAGGTGGTCGGGGACGACGGAGGAGATGAGGGGGTCGTGGATGAAGACGACGCGGCCAGGCAGGGCGGCGGCGAGGGCGGCGAGTGGGGCGCGGAGGTGGAGGGCGGAGTCGAAGGCGGGCTGGAGGTGGGAAGGGAAGCGGCAGGTGGATAGGGGGTCGGGGGAGAGACAAGGGAAGGAGGGGACGGGGAGGTCGTGGAAAACAATGCGGGAGACGGCGGAGGAGTTGAGGTGGCCGGCGGCGCGGGCTCGGGCCTGGCGGTTGTGGGTGGCGGAGGCAGCGTAGTGGACGGGGAGTCCGCGGGAGGCGAGGAGGCATGAGAGCTGGAGGAGCTGGTTCAGGTGGCCCTGCGCCGGGAAGGGGACGGCCACGACGGAGATGGTCGGAGGGGGGTTCGGGATGGTGACGTCATCTGTGATGTTCCCCATTTTGACTGGAGGAGGTTTTTTTTTTTCTTTTTCTTTTCTTTTGTTTGGGTATTTCTGTTTGGAAGGTGATTGGCGGATACGTGTCATTTAATAGAAAGGAAAAAGAAACAGTTTTTTTTTTTTTTTTTT